GAAAGAGGAGAAAGGGATGACCCCGGACCTAAGTCTCCTAAGTGGTTTCGCTCGTGGGGTGTTATTATCATTGCATGTACGTGACACGTGTCTGCATTCGGGTTCGTGGCTCCTATCTGGTTTGTTTTTAGGACAGGTGTTATTACTTCATGTCTAGTAAGTCTAGTATTTTGTTCGCATATCTAATACGAGAACTGATTAAACTACTACACCGACATCGCGGCAGCAATTTCAGCCTTCATTGTGCATTCCTTCTCTTGCTTATGCTTCGACACACGATTTCCACTCCCGTGTGGTCCTATTGCTGCTCATTGCACATGCCATACCAAGAATCATACGGCGCATCTGAACGCAAATCGTAACACTCAAAAAATTGAAGCTAATTGCCCAAACTGCATTCGATTTGCCCAAATTTACGAAGAGATCGGCGGAAGTTGAACCCCTGCTCAATCCATGACCGGAGTTCATGAAATCAATATGCCTCCCGTCACAACTGACCACTGACAAGCCAATGTCCAAACATTGGGGACGCTTCTTGCACGACGTTGTTGCGTATGCCGATTGCTGCCATGACTATGATTAACCTATAATATAGGTGCGCCTTTGACTGCATTGGTGTTTCAAAGAGGCTTAATTTTCAGCAGCTTGATGAAAATTAACGGGATAATGGCGCCTCAACTGCAAACGAACCTGAGGAACCCAAAATCTTCAATCAGATTCACCAGGCTCTTTGCTCCTGACATCTTGAACTTTTTCGGCAAAACCAAAGTCACAAACCACCTACCCACTAGAATCAGCGTTGAACTCAGATTCGATGGGCCCTTCCATGGCGGTAGTGGCCTTCTCCTCTTGTGAAAGATCATCGTCTTGGAGCTGTGCGAGGGCCGCGACCTGGCACGTGCCACGTGAACACTTCGTGGTATGTTAACTCCATATTTGGGTAGTATGGCTCACTCTCCAAGCCTGTAAGCGGCAGGTTCCCGGTTTCAATTCTGCACGCAAAAAATGGGCCCCTTGTCCCACAACATCAGAATTGTGCACTTCCTTCCTGGTGCAACTCGGTGTCTGTTCAGGGGGTAACGTGTGGCTGTTCTGCATGCTCAAGCGTTCGCCAATGATTGCGGTATGGCACATTGATGACTTGGCTTGTTGACAAGCTCAACGGCGAAAGCATGCAGAACAAATTCCCATTCAACGAGATGTCTGCAGAGGCTTAGGATCTGAAACGTTCAACATCTGTCTCCTGCTCAACGCGAGGAAACATTGCTGCTAGAGCCTTGGTCCATCTTGACCTATTTATGGGACTTGCATATTCAACACCCCTAGAGGTGCGACAACTCCCCAATACCTTGGGGTCCCAAAGAAGTACCACTGCACATGAATATCCCATCTCTTTCCAAATCTCCAACTCCATATCTCCCTGGAGACCCCCAACATGGGGTACTCCTTGTTATCGGCAGCTAGAAAAGACCCATGATTTTCACAAGCCCACAAATGCTCTTTGAAGTAGTCTCAAGAGCTTTGTGGCTTCTGTTGCCTCCGGGGTGTCCGAGGAAGCGTTGACGCTCGCATGGGCGTGTTGGGCCAAGAGCCCCGTTGCCTGTTTGCTTTAGGGTTCAGGGCTGTAGCGTTTCAAGACGAGAGACCACATTCCTCTGTATGTATAGGGGTGCCCTCGCCTCAACCAATATGGAACACCATATACCCGTTTTTTCAGAGGGCAATCGCCGAAAGGGAACTTTTTTGGTTCCATGCTTGTTTGGGGGAGCGTAGTCCATCGCGGGAGCATAGTGGGGTTTACGGGATTGCATTCGGGCTTTCACATATACGTACCTGCCATTCTTGGCCAGAAGATGCCTTAGGAACATCTGTTGGCTTTTAGTGAGTACCGACCATATACTTCTATCTGTGGTCCCTTGGGCCAGAGCCAGGTCTTATCAGGTTACGTAGCTTCTGCTTAGGGTGTTTAAATTGCACGCCGTACACTATGAAGTAGATGGGGCCCTGAGGCATAAAACGCCGAAGCTGAAGCTCGAACCTGTGCCCAAAACCCTCACCCTGCAGCCGCCAAACTCAAGCAACCTACAACTTCCCACCGTGCACCTTACAACTCAAAGTCCCCTAAACCACCAGCCTCCCAAGCCATCAAATCACACAAGCCCAGAAGCAATATGCCTCAACGCCTGGGCAGCTAACAACAATCTGGCCCCTGCTTGGGAACGAGATGGATTGCAACGGGGCTACAACTAAGGTAACCGGTACTTTCAGGTCTGAAGTACCCCACTCTTCCAGGAAATGGGCTGTCGCACCGCTTTGTGAGCTGCAGTTACGTTATTTCTTACACAGAACCTGCTGTCCACCCTCAATGTTCCCACTATTGGCAATAGGTTACACCGGCCTTCGCTGGTTTTGGAGCAGCAGCTACATGCGCCTTCACCTCGACCTCCAGAGCACGTGTCCCAGAAGCCCCTATATCTCGCAATTAATCCCACAAAATGGCTGATTGGAGGCATCAGTAATCCTGCAAAGGCATTCATCGCCTGGGAATAGTGAAAGAATTTTCAAAGGTGAGCGGGGGCACTTACGTAGCTAGGTTTCCCCCTACAGGCTACAGCACTATTTTGCATCCTCAGTGATGTAGGATTTCCTCCCTCCACAACAGGTTGCTTCGCTGTCCTTCCATTATAGCCCCTGCAACATAATTACAGAGACCAGCCCCGCTGAGGTTCCCAAACTTCCAAGAACGGTTCCAACTTAATCAAATTGCAGCTTGTTGGATCCTTCTTCTAGCTTGAGGGCTAGCACCAGCGTTGCAGGACTCAGTTTTTCGGCTGTGGCCTTTTGGGGAGAGAGAGAGAGAGAGAGCTAGGTCATGTCTTAGAAGGGTCTGTAAACTTAGGGGTCAGGCTTTTTTGCGTCCACAGTTTGGGGTATCTGAAAGCTAAGCGATACTCTTGAGTTCATGTCGAGACAGGACACCAAGGGCGAGGCCTTCCAGCGAGGCCTTCGAGGTTCATGCTATGCTGTACTTAACCTAACTACAATCAATATCGAGTCCAGAACCACACGACATGTGGGCGGCCTTCGGAGCAGCCTTGTGCTGCTTGCCGGTGTTTGGAGTCCATGGGGGCAGCTGCCTGCCGCTTAGGGTTCAGGGCAAGTCTGAGACAAGAGAGAGAGAGAGAGAGAGAGAGAGCGAGCGAGGGAGGGAAGAAGGAGAGAGCTTTGACTCTAGAATCCAAGTGGTAAGAGTCTAGCTGAAGATCAGGGTTGACAGGGCAATAACAAGAAGTCAGAATAAGGCTAATGAGAAGCCATAGACAGGCGTTTGACAAATCAATACAAGCGGTCATAAGCTGTTATCTGTCAGATGCTTCACTGCTGAGCGAACTGATGCGTAATTGGAAAGCTCCCCACTCAGTGGCAGTAATCAATCAATAAGCCTCCAGGATCGATATCGAAACCCTGGAGGTCCAGTCACCCAAGAGAGATAAGAAACATCCCAGGCACTTAAATGACTGGGCTACCAACGTGAACATACCCAGCGCAGAAGAGTAGCCAGCTGGCTACGAACTTGCTGACTTGGGGGATCTACCTTCTGTAATGGCACTTGAACTTGGAAATCAGAACCTGAATTCCCATCACGCCTTTGCCATAACCTACACAAATGCCCTTCCTCCTATGTGTCAACGTAGAGTCCTTTTGCGAACGGCGTCAGGATGATCAGGCTCGCGCGGGATACTGGTAAAAAAGTATCATGCTGCGTTCCTGCCGGGCTTGGCTTGAATTGTGCGCATAATCGAAATATATACAACAATGCCTCAGGAACCTCTGAACCCCTTCAAACTCTTGCATCCAAGAGACCAGGGTCTGGCAGCTAAGGCACGCAAGGCGGCATTGAAGTTCTCGAAGAGCCCTGGGTTCTGCAATTCAGGGCGTAGGGTATTAACATAGTTCTACCTTTCAGGTTTAGGATTTGCGGGGTCTCTAATCTCTAAGCGCAAACCCCCAAACCCGCCCTCACCCTTACCAAATCCAGTGCGTACATCATCTTACTAAGGCAAAATCCGAACCCGGCATCTGCATAGGAACAGCCAAAACTCCAAGTCTTACTTAGTCTACTAGGGCTTGCCAGGGCTTCGACGAGTTTAGAACTTCCTGCATCCCCAACGCACCAGCTTTTATTAAGCAACTTCAGCAGTTGAGGACTCCACTGACTGACTGAAGTATGAATACAAAGAAGGTATGGGTTTTGGCCTCATGGCCACCCTTGCACACGTTTAGATTTGTGCGCTCCTCAGCCCTCAGCCCTTTTGGTAAGACTTGAGGGGAAGACGCCAAAGGCCTTTTTCAAAAAAATGCAAACCGAAACGCGTAACCATCCCTGCTAATTAGCATGAAGCACTCCCTTGCTCCTAAGCTTGAACATTCTCATGATGTGTTTCATCTTATGTCAGGAATAACGCTTCCCAAAAATCAGCACCATGAACGTTTGGTAACAGTTGACACCGGAGGAAGCGAGTGATGAAAACTGCGGGCCAGAAGCTAAAGACTAAACGTTTCAACTGGAGAGCTTAGATCCCGCAACCCTGCATTAGCCCTCAAACCTAAAGACAAGACCCCAAAAACCTCTACCCTCAATCCTGAATCATATATGAGCATATAGGGGTTTCCTGAAGCATGGGCCCCAAAAACCTTGAACCCTTGACGCAGATCTAACACCCCAAGTCCTGGGTCCCCCAACCCAGCTTCTTGAGCTGCTCAATGGAGCTGCTGCGCTTGAGGCCTAGCAAAGGATTTTGTCCCTTTAATCGTGTCATTTATTATAGGAGCATTAGGATATGCAGGGTTATAGTGGCTAAAACAGGGGAATATAGATATGTGGGGTTAAGGTCCCTTTTCACGTTCAACTTTCGTTTTTTGAGTACGGAGCCTAAAGAAATGTAACCAAAAACCCAGACTCGTTGCCTGGCGAGAGAGCTGATGTATCCTGGATGAAGCTACCCCAGCACCTGGGCCAAAGGCTGTTTGTTCGCGCTTTCCCGACAAAAAGACGTCAAAAAGTAAATAGGTTACCCTTCTGCCTCGGACTCTCTTTCAGAGTTTTCTCAGTGCGCTATCCTTTTGAACATAGCAACCTGTGCAGACAGTTCTTCAAATGAGGGCGGCCTTAACTCAGAAACATGTAGCCAAAAAGCGCCCCTCCCCCCTAAACTTCAGACCGCTGCCAAATACCAGTGCCGTACATCCCCGAGGAGACTGTGAAAGCCTAGCTACTGCTTGCTTGGCCCTTCTCCAGTGTGGAGCGTTCATAGGAAAAGCTTAGGCTGATCGTCTTTAGACAGACTACGGGCCGCTCAAGCGATTTGAATCCTTTCCATTGAAAAACCATGTTGTTGGGATGACAGGTCCCCCTATCCTTGACCACTAAATGTGTATCGGACGTTTGGCTTACTAAGAGTCACTGTATGTCCTTCCATAGAGGATGCACCAAAGACAGCATCTTAAGCCAACTACTTGACATGTAGATCCGGTAGCGCCATGTCAAATCAGTACCCTAAGCCCTAGATTCATAAGGCAAGGATCCTGTACAGCAGAAAGCTGCAATCTTGAGAACACCACCATCCCCCTCTGCAAGCGACAGAATCCTCTGCTCAGCTTCTTGAAACATATCTACCACACCATGAATCATAATGTTGGAGCCTCTTGTTAAACGTCTCCAGTTCTGCTTCAGGAGGAAACCCCCTCCCCCAAACTCTCATGCAACATGTCCGTAGGGTTGGGAAGGTACCCTTGTCAGACACATCAATTTCATCGATCGGACAGTCGAGCAGCTGATCTCCCTTTGCATCGGCCTGCGGCAAGTGAAGCACTATGGGGGTTTGGGTTAGAAGGCTTCCGGCACAAATCCACACCCTGAAACCCAGAGCCCTCCGTGCCCAAACCCTTAGAGAACCTATGTCTTTTACACCTCCAAGTATAAGTCATCAAGGTCTGTATGAGTCCTGTGTCTCAGGTGGAGAGAGTAAATGGACACGCTCTTACCCCGACAGGCATGGTTACCAAGCAGCCTACCAGTTGATGAGGCAGCGCCTCAGTGGCCCGCAGACAGCTATAATAGCAATACTAATACTAACAATGGGATTAATACCAATAACAACAATAATGATAACTGTAATACTGATTACTACAACAGTAATATATACATATATATATAATATATAATGACAATATATATTATATATTGTCATTATACCATAATTAATGTGTGTATATATATATATACACCCTAAGTAGAACATGGCCCAAGAAGCCTGCAAACCCAGAAGCCTGAAATGCAAGGCGAGACGACGGTAGTGGGCTCAACCCTGCAGGCCAACTTGGACAGCCTGTACAACCTCGAACCTGGACCAATAATAACAAGAATAAGAACTATAACGCTGATAACTACAACAGTAATGTAATAATAACTGTGATAATACCATACATAATGGGTCTGTATAGAGGGGTGTGAATTTGTTTACATCAAAACACCGCAGCTGCCTCGGCCGAAAGAACAGTGACGTGGCCGTGCAGGCGTTCACTGCCCACAGCCTTGGCGTGCGCAACCTGGCAGGCAAAGACAGTTTGACATTTAGGACTTGAAGGTCTTAGGAATTGGGGCTCAGGGTTTGGAATGTAGGGATTCTGGGGGTCCCTGGGTCTAGGCAAAATGGCTGGGTCTTGCGGATGAATGACGGTGTAGGGCTGAAGTGTGGTTATTTAGCAAATCTGTTCGTATCACGACACAGGGTTGCAAGAGAACATGCAGAACTCGCTTTTATCCTATCCAGATTGGTGGTGAGCGACTTGGCTTGTACAGTAGAGGTTGAGTTTTAGCTACAGTGATGAAGGCAAGATCAGGAGATGCTAATCCATAATTCTCAACTCATACTGCATATCAGTTCAGAACCTACATGTTGAATTCGGAGCTACAATGTTTGGGGTCGTCAACACTGCGGTTCTGCTGCGGTTCCCCTAACACGTGTCCGCCCTAGGTAACATCATCGAAAATGAGAAAATGATCACAAACTGACCCTCCGCTTGGTCCAAGCTTTCTGAACATTTCCAAGGCAAGCACTTCCTTAATTCTGCTGATCCTACTAGCGGCATGCGGGCTCCGAGAAAGGTGAAACAAAGTATACAGCTAGCTCCTGCTACTGGCATGTCAGAAGGCTGTACACTGATCTAGGACTGGATGCAAGGAATCAACTTGATGGTAAGAATTCCTTCTGGGCAAGACAAAGCCCAAACAATGAAAACGTTTTGATCAAGCGCAAACTTTACTTCAGAATCCTGTGGAAAGTCAACTTCGTAGTTTGCCCGAAAAGCCTTTCAGAGTCTCTAGAACATATCCGTCTGTGTACAAAAGGAACTTGCACGATCCTCTTCCAGCCTTAGTGTGGCTGAGTATAAGCAAAAACAATGTGGGCCCTGGACGCATAATCCACCTTGACCTCCAGAATCCTATACCCCCGCTAGTTGCACAATACAAGTGTACCCGCCCCCTAAACATTTAGGGCCTCACATTACTTGGCCTGATCAGCGTTAATAAGTGTAGACTTCAGCTGATCAAACTGCTATTGCGAATGGAGGAAATCTTGCACCATCTTAAGATCTCCAGGAGAATGAAACTATTAGGCTATAGGGTGTGTAAGGTGGTGCCAGATTTCCTGCATCTACAGTATTGGCACGTCTCTGGACAAAAGCTTCAAAGACCTGTTGCTTTAGAATCACCCAGACTCTGATTGAATTCCGCAATTTTGAAACGTGTCATCAGGGGGGCTTTTGTTTGTTAGGGGCTTATAGAGGTTCAGGATCTAGGGTGTTGGGGCTTTAGGATTTTGAGCAAAGTGTTTTCACGTTTCAGATTTGGGTGCTGGGGGCAGTTGATTACGTTGGACGCCTCAAGCCTTTTCGTGACTTCATCCCCAAACTGTAATCTCTAGAATACCCTACACCCTGATAAGCCTCATGGCCGGGCAACTCCTGAAGAATTGACAATTGAACGGGATGGATTTCAAATCGCATCGATCGAATCGACCCGCCACATGTTCACAATACTCGCACGAATAGACAACCGATACTGTTACTTCGGGGGTTGCGGCGGCTTGAAATTGGTTTTTGGGAAGTCCCCAAAACTAATTTTCCGCCTTAACTATTCCGGCGGGTTGCGGCTTGAAGTGAAATTTCCCAAAACACATTCAACCTTAAATATTTTGAGCGGTTTGTGAGAAACTGAGCGCCTTTTCCAATCAATCCTATTGATCAGAATCGGCATGTCGCCGGCTAATTGATCGTATCGACAGATAGGCCTCACGTCAAACACGTCGCAACCGACCGAAGCGGTCGCGCCCAGCCTTGACGCCTCCTTGGTGCTTAATGGTGGACCCCCTGTTGTACAGGCAGTCCCCCAACACGGTTGACTATTCTCATCTATGATCCCGGGCCCCACAAATGCAAATTTGCGCGCATTTAAACTCAATCTAAAGCATGAATCTTGGTGGTAGCGTTGAAGCTGCCATCCGTTTTCTGGAAGCCTACTCAACACCTGCTTCTAACGAATTTTCAAAATCAGTAGAAATCAAGTTAATATTACTTGAAATCCAATTCAAGTCAATGAAAAGACAAAGAAACAGTTGAAGTCAAATTAGAACCAAGTACGGAGCTAATTCAAATCCATCATAAATTTACCCAAAACACTTTGCAATATTCGACCCCCAAAAGCGGCCAACACTACCGAAGGGGGAACGGGTTCGGGACTACTATGGAGGTTTACGTAGGGACTACAATAGGGACTCCTGAAAAGCTTCAGGTAGATCATCTAGACCCGACCTTTCCAAACCCCACTATAGGAGCCTATCTAGTTTCCACTCGAATGATGAAGTCTATTTGAGGTACCCTGTAATTGCTATAAGTATGACAAGGATATGGAAGCACGATGCCGGTAATGATTCAATCTCCTGTACAAGCACTCCGCAACTGGCTGCGCCTGCATGAGCTTCAGAGCCTCACGGCAAGGGTGTGTCAGCAAAGGAGCAGGGACGCAAAAGACCGCATGCGGAGGGGTAATCTCGGGGACCCCATGGAGGTCCAAAGTGACCGCCATGAAGGGTTCTATAAGGAATATGTCATTGGGGACCTCTGCGCCGGCTTGGCACCAGCCATTGATACCTCCTCTAAGTAACTCAACCATCAAGTATACCATCAGCCGGGACAAGGATCCAAATAAAGATGACGGGTCAATAGACGTTCGGGTTCAGGGGAGGTTTCAGGCAGTAATTACTGTTGCTGAAGGACTCCCATGATTTGGGGTATGTAGGGTGCTGCCAGATAGCCTTTATCCAGCACGTGAGATCAGAGAATGCGTGTAAGGCTAGCGTAATGTAACTCAAACCTCTTGCCAGGTTCAAGCTTCTCGGCACTTGCATACTCAAGAATGCACTTTTTTTGGTCTGTCAAACAGGCGTGTCAGCGCAAGCACCCAGAAACAGCACAAACACACTTCAACGACTTCCATCCCAGAGCCCAAAGCACTCAAAGGTGAGACCCCCAAGACGTGACCATTCGTCCAAATGTCAGCGCAAGACCCTTCAATTCGTGCAAGTACATTGGATTTCAAACTTACACCAGGGAGCAGTTGCTTGAAAACTTACGGGGAGGCGAAGGAAATATGCTTAGCGCACGTAGCATGAAGCTGATCATTCCCGGCCTGTCCGCTACGAGTCGCGACCTGACCGTAGGGAATCAGGGTCTACCAAATTGGGCTCAAACCGAGCTTTCATACAAGACTTGACATGATCTGATTCAGCCGCGTACCCGTACCCCTGCAAACCTAAACCACTGACGACGATAACAGATCTCGCCTTGCAACACCAGGTTGACAGGCATCTAGCTTGAGGTTTTCCAAAACGCTAGACGCTGGGATCTTAGACCGCATAGGGCAGTTGAACACGTACGCGAATGTCTCCGGACGTGATCCAAACAAGGAGTATTCTCCAAACAACGGGCCAAACAAACAAACAAACAACCAAGCCACGCGCGCTCAACCCTAAAACATGAACCGGTACAGACTAAACACTCACAGACCTTACACAGTCTGACGCTCTCAGCTCTAAAACGTGAAGCCCTAGAACCACGCCAAAAGGAGCAGCATGTGTTTTTCTGTAAAGCCCGAAGGTCATGCTTCTTCATGGAGTTCCAGATCCTGCAAACACTCGGACTTACTCTCTGACGCGAGCCCGATGACCTGTATTCCAACCCAAAACGATTTACTACCCAAAGAAGCAGGACAACTCAAACATTGTCCCTAAATTTCATGCTCCCCGAGTTGACCGCTAGTGGAGAGGAAATCCCTGAAATGGGTCTATTTAGTCATCTTGCCTTGCTTCGGAATGACAAACCCTGAAGCTGAAGGTGGATTCGTCCCTATTAAATCCTTCGCGGCTGGCTCTGAATCCTGAGCGCTGCGCTACACCCAAACTTATACAGCCTCTAATTCCCATCTACACCGGTATACCCTACCCCTATTGGGCAACTATACCTGTGCCTGAAAAATCTGAATCGAAGTACACTACAACAACGGTAGAGTATAAGGGTCTATGTCAAGCTTTGGAGCTCCACCCCGCAGAATGCCTTGCCCGGAAAGAGCAGCTCCGTAAGCGTCCCTTGCTCGGCGCCCTGGCAGAGGATCAATTCGATTGTTGGGGGTGTACAGCAAGGGTTAGACGTGTTAGGGGCTTTAAGGGGGTAGGTAGTACCAGGTAGAGTAAAGCCTTTGGTTTACCAGATGCAGGGTTTTTCCTGTTTGCCCCGATTAATTTCATGCTTTGGATTTGAAGTGTAGGGTCTGCTGGACTCAAGGCTTTGCCGGGTGTTGATTCTTGATGGCTGTGGGAAGGGCATATGGATGACTTCTGGCCCGTATTTGCGGCGTTAGTTCCAAACCCTAGAACCCTGGAGCGATTCAAGGCTTAATTCAGGAACTCCGTTGTAAAAGGCTGCCACTGGCTTGCTATGGGGCAGTTCTGAGGGTCAAGTATGTTACTTGACTCCAAGATTGCTTGAAGCACGAGCTCCCGTTGACCCGCGAAATCAACAATGCATATGATGAACTGGGTGTCTTGAACCATAGATCAACCTCCAAGCCTCAACGCTTCCCTATTTCCCCAAAAACCTCTGGACAAAAAAAGGCAAGACCTCAACCCCGAAAACAAAGGCTGACTCGCCAAGCCTGCTTAAAATCTAAACCCTACCAACCCCCTCAACCCTAAGCCCTGAACTTAGGACCGAAAGCTGCGCGTCCTAGACTTTGAACCCCCAAACCCTCGAACATGAATCCTAACACCAGAAATACAGTACACCCAATGCCAGAAACCTTGAATCCAAGGTCCTAAGCACTCAACCCTGAAATCTGTAAGCCCTGTAAAGCCCTCAAACCTGACAAGCTTTTTTCCGCTAATTCATGCGTCTTTTCAAGCATCCCTGAGCCTCAAATCGCATTGCTTCGTCCGATTCTCCGGATTGGCCTTGGAGCTTACTGTTTACTGCTGAGGATTGCAGAGAATACCTAGGCTCTCAGGATCCTAAGGATGATCTGAGGCCGGCAAAACCTTCATAGGGATGTTAGGCACTGTGTTAGGGCAACTCTGCTCTACCAAAGGAGGATGCTGGGACTAGATCGAAATCCAAGCTCAGCAGTTGCACCTGTCCAATTTGTCTTGAAGAACCGTCGTCCTCCACTCGTTTCTAAGAAGTATCCCAAGGAAAACGAATCGCGGCCAGCACCTTCACCGCTTCAGCTTTAGAGGGTACCCGTAGTGCTTGCATGCCGAATGTTGTGCCTGCAGGATCTTGTTTGAATAGCCGCTGTCCATAAGCGAAAGAAGTGTGTTTGACAATACCATGGTCAGCAAGTCTGCCAGCTAAAGCTGCGGGCAAACAAGACTTGCTCCAAAACGCTAAACGCTTCAAGCTAGAGGTTGACGAGAACCCCGAGGTACTACGGATCGCAGCCTGGGCTCCTACACCCGACCCTGCATTCTGAAACTAAGACATGTACCCGAGACATTTACCTTTAAACCTCAAAGCCCTTCATTGCCTTTCAACCACCTTCACCTTGAACCTTGCTAATCCTTCAGCTACCCCAACCCCACCCCAAATCTTATGTACAGCTACAGCCTTTAATCCCTCGACCCTGAACAACAAAACCTATAGCTTTGTGATCCCAGTCGCGCCAGGCGTTCACAAGATCTTCGCCTGGAGAGGCTGGGCTGGAGGGGTGCAAGGCCCTCTGGTTGTTAGTGGCGAACGCAATGGAAAAGAGCATAGAAACTACTCTTCTTGGGGCTTGCGTAGAGGCTAACTCCTCAATAACAGCCAAAACAGAGCAGAAGGAGTGGCGGAATCAATAGTAGGGACGATCTATGGGATTTCACGGGGGCTAGTAGAGGGCTCTGCACCTACCAGGTAGAATCTGAGGTCCGAACCAGGGGCCTCTAACATGGGCCCATTAGATAGAACATACATACATACCCGATTTATGCAGTAGCTTCCAGGGTTGTAGGCAACGCGAGTGTGCACAAGGAGTCTGGAACAATAGTCATAATTTGGGCACATGGGCTTGGAGCCGCACCGCGCTGACGGCTTCAGCACTGTTGCCGGGCAAACATTGTGATTGCAGAGACTGGATATCCGGCCCGGATCTAACTCGGACTGTAGAGCAGGCAGGTAGGGTAGAATGTATGTGAAAACAGGTAGGGTAGAATGTATGTGAAAGCCAGTGATGTCTTACAAATCAAGATGTTCAAGTGCTGTACAGCAATGACTGTTGGCTTTAGTCGCGGATCTGGGCGGTGACGCCAACGCCTAGGTCCTGTCTTGGAGGTCCTAGACATGAGGGCCGTGTGAAATATGCCCCAAACGGGACAACGATCTTGGCTCTGCGTTGGGAATTCCAAAATGTCCGCCCTCCCACATATACAACTCTGGAGTGCGCCCACATACAAGCAAAGACATCCAGTTCCAGGAAACTACTACAACCCCCAAAATCACTCCCAAAATGCATTGAGACATATTGAGACCCATTTGTCTCTACATGACAACACCGTGTAATCTCTGGAGCCTTTTTTACGCTCAATCCCTGAAACAGGCGGCAAAAACTTATGCAGGGCTTCTCTTTTTGTTACTCCCCATTGATAACTCTCTAAATCCACGCCCTCCAATGTGCCTACGGAACCCTCTGAACACTCACCAAAAACATATGACCAGCCATTGAAACTGTGACAAACTCCGGAACCAACTTCCCCCCTCAACCACCCTAAACCGCACCCTACACCCCTACACTGTTTTGGGGGCGCTGCCATGTCCATTGACCTGCAGCAAGAAAATGCGGTCGCTCACCTGAGCAGTGACTTGTTTGATGTACATAGGGTGTAGGGTTTGCGGTTTCGGCCCTTGGGGCCAGTTGCTGAAACAGGCTAGGATTTGAGTCTCGGCATTTGTTTTGCGTAGCGAGTTTAAAGCTTGGTTATAGAAGGTGCAAGGTTCAGGCATTCGGGCTTTGGGTTTTAGGCTTCTGAAAGCAGAAACCCTGGACGTCTCTAGCAAATCTAGGAGGTGTGAAGTTGGAACATGGGAGGTTCTCGTTCGGATAAGACATTCGTGTTGTAAGACACTCCCAGCTAAGTAGGCCGTGCTAGGCGATCGTGTGGCAAACTCTAACTCGAGGCTTTGGGCCCAGGGCTCAGCATTTGATCTTCTTGCAAGGCCACACTCAAACTCCCCCTGTGATGCATATCAACAAGGGAGATCTATCTTGTCTCTCAATTAAAAAGAAGAAGTTGCCTGGGATGCGCTGCTGCGGCTGCCTAGGCACTTACGCACTGTCCTGGAATTGAAGTCGTGTAGACAAAGAGGGCTGTCTGGTTAAGACTAACCTCAAGTGACTTTCCTCCAGGGAAGCCGCAGGCTTATAAAACTGAGCCTCCTGGCTGGTTCCCTGGTAGCGAAAAGTGGAGTCGGTAATAAGCTAGCTGCAACTAAATGACTAGCTTTGACTGGGATATTCACCCCCCCATACTGGAACTGGGAACTTCCAGCTCTGCGAAGTCTGTTACAGGCCTGGTGCATCAGCCCTAGCTCCATGTTTGACATGTCAAGCTCGATAGGTATGCGGCAATGCTGTTGAAAGCCATAAACATGCCGACTGAATGCTTATATCCTCAAAAACTATGTCCTCACACCTGAGGAGCTTTAGAACTTCCTCATCCCCTCCCAACTGCAGTCCTACTTGAGAATTTTGAACCATGAAGACGCTCCAGCTCCAATGAAATCTAGAAAAAAAATCCATTCTCTGCGACCGTGCGTCCAAACCATTGTTCTTGGCATCCCACTGGAAGATGCCACCTGCTTCGATGAACAGAACACGATTCCGGTCCCGGGCCTGAAACCTTGAATTCGGGAGCTGGGTTCTATATGGCGGGCGTGGCAGGCGCTTCCCTGATGACGTTTGATTGAGATTTGCGTCTGTTTGAAGCTGACGTACCCATATTCGCGCATTTTTGATCGCCCTGCAGCAGCACGGACGCGAAAAGTCAGAGCGGAACCACAAGTTGGTTGGGCAAATCGGAGACAGTGGTTGCACGGTGTTACCTTTGTCTTTGTTTTTGGCAAGATTTGCTGTGCTTGAGTGTCCGAGCTATGCTTGACATCGAAAGATTGCGGACGCGTATGCAAGTTCAACATATTTGCCTCGTTGCCAACCAGAACTGAAACAGGCGTCCGGTTGCTGGCAGCTATGGCACTCGCGCTCCGATAAAAGAGGGCTGCAAAGGATGCACGGAATATGGCTTAGGATTGTAGGCTCGGGGTTGGAGGCTCTAGGTAGGAGAGCTGGTGGCAGCTGTAGGCAAAATGCACGACATGTATGGAAGTCTTGCAGGTTTGAACGCTGCTTCATTTTTTTGGAGATTGATGCCGCGGAAAGTAACCGCTTGGCTGGATAGAGGGTTTCTGCAAACCTCTCTTGGGTCAGTGGAAGTTAGTGGGAAGAGTGGTTCTACGATTCTGAAGGGCATTCCTCTTCCACGTTTGGGCTTACCCCGATTGGACCTTGAAAGATTTCGCACAAAATACGCTATAATCTGGCAAGGCCTGCACCCATTCGCAGTGGGCCAGCCTCAAGCAAACATTGCTTTAAGTACCTTGAAAAGATACCATCTGCCAAAATCGGCGTTTATGAATTCCGCATGCTAGCTGCTAGCTGTTCGTCTTGAAACTCACGTTTGGCATGAGTAGGAACTCTAGTGCAGCTCATGCTAATAAATGCAGGGGACTGTGGAATATCACCGGATCATATCTGTAGTGGTCTACTACCCAGCCACAAAAAATACGAGAAACAAATGACTGAAGACATGACATTTCCGAAAAAAATCTCCCCATGATTGAGGCGAAAATACGAGATGGGCCTCATGTTTCGATCCTATAAAACCTCCCATGAGATTCTACGCCCGCCGAAGTTCTCAAACGCGAAAACTCGTGTCTGCGTCGCCTGTTCGCGGATGCAACGGCTGATCCTTGAACAGCTGGTCCAGGTATTTGGTCAACGGAACATCGTGGTCTCGGAAGTAAGCTGTGGAATCCTCGGACAGAAACTCAGAAACATGGCATGTCTGTTTTTGCATGCAATACTATGGGGTAAGTACCATCCATGTACAGCCTCAAAGAAGGAACAGCCCATTCCCTCAACTGAACATCTTGGCTTGAAGCAGGATGCTGGCGCTACGATTGACTAACTTGATGCCCTGCAGTCTTTCCCTAAACCGTTATAGAATACCATCGTAACTAAATCATCAGTTCTAGGGCCATGGATGCTATCACTTGAGATCAGGCTTCGGCTTAGGAAAACGAAGCTCATTATAGCAGTAGGGGAGAGAACCCGGCCTCCTCAGCTATGTTCTGGGAATCTATGCAAGTAATCCCTGGAACTCCCCTCGCTGCTGCGCGGCCATGAAGACAATCCAGCCGCACTTTTCATTGCCTCGGGTCACGGGGCCGGCGCTCCACAAAGAATGTTGTCAACATGGCTGACATAAGACGTACCGTGCAAGCTTGAGCAAACACACCTAAAGAGCCAATCTTCATCCCTTTTCCTAACACGGATATCTGCAAAGGCTCTCAGGCCACCAACATGGTCCGATCCCAACGTACCTACATAGCTTTTGAGACAGGGTGCGGGAGTTTGCCGCCTGCATGCGCTCATGCAGGAAGGGCACGCGGTACCTTTTACTCCGCTTGAGTTTCAACAAGGCCTTCTGGGCGTTCACAGGTAGTTCATTGCAGGGCAATGCCGTGTCTAGGGCTAGGCGTCTAAATACCCCACATTTATTTATGGGCTGGAAGGTTGCTGTACAAGTAGTTCCTGGTGCAGCTCTAAGAGCTACTGTATGGTCACTAGGATTCTCTAGGAAGCGTCATGAGAACAAATCCATCCATCCATCCATCCATCCATCCATCCATCCATGCATTCATCCATGCATTCATGCATGCCCACAATACATACAGACATACAGGCACGCAGGCAGCCATGCATGTGTACGTATCCACCAAATCGTTCGAGCTCCTGTGCAATCTTTCGCGAGCACCTTGTTTCAACTCAGACGGGGTGTCTCAAATCTTTGCTTCAAGGGCATCCATCCGGATCCAAGCGCTTCTCTATCAGTCCATGCCTTAGGGGTCCCAGTATCAACAATTATCCAAAATCGGCAACAGTCTGCGGCCTCAAAATACCTGTAGAACTGGGCCGGCCCGTATGCGCAATATGGATACACGGGCACCCCGGCACCCCCCAATTTCCAAGACTGATGGTGGCAAGGGGCCAGCTGCTCGCAGGTCTCTTGGTCAGTGCTCCTTTGGAAAGGGCTGGGCGGATTCAGGGGTCTGTATGGACTAAGCATGAAAGAGCTTTCAGTGGAAACGATTTTGAAATTGATTTTTCAGGCTTGCTGTGGCTTTTAAATTAAAGGAAAGCGGCGAGACACCTGGGTACTCTCACTGCTATTGCTTCATGACTCTGGCTCAGGGGGCTTTAGGTCCAGGTTTGGGTTTGGAGGATCAGGGGTCTGTTGCTTTGGGGGCTTGTAAATCAGGATTGCAGGCCATGCGGCGCCTTGGCTTGGCATATAGAGGAGCGATGGTAACATAAATAGTCTTTGCTGGTGTGTACTGGCATTTTGCATGGTGCATGTGCGGAGTAAGTCAGTCTGCCCCGGCCTGAGATCCCAAAGAGACCAGATGCGTGTGTCGAGGAACGAATATCGAAGGTCGCGAGGGAGGGCACGCTGCTTCAGAGGAACCATAGATCAACTCGATATCCGCACTGTCACCAGGCTACGCGAAGACATGAGACGCTTCTGAAACCTCTGATATCCCAAAGACTTGTTGTGGTCATCACGAAGGGGAAGTGAACGATAACAGAACTTCCAGAAAGTTCTCCACGAATGCGACATGGTCTCTCAGCATGTCTCAGAAACCACGCCTACCGATACTCCTCAAAACTACTACAATCTGAATGCAGCCACAAAATCATAATGGACGCCTTGCAACACCCTTTTTATGCGCTCACCCTCATCTGCTTGTAATGTTCCACTGCATAGGAACAAGCCAAGATACTTCTCGCGCAGTCCCTAAACAAGAAGTTCGTGATAGTCTCTGCAATCACAACCAGGGACCACACCTACCTATGCCTCCCCATTTTAGAGACCCCGCTAGATCCTATCCTCCCAGGTTCCCGAACCCCTAAACTCCTAAACCATCAACCCCTGAAGCCTCAACCCCAAAGCTTTAAACCAGACCAGGGAGCTCTGACTATGCGCCTCCGGCGTTGCCAGGGTAAAGGCGTAGCCCCAGCGATCAGCGTAGGCCTGTGTGATCAACAGCTTGTACTTTTACGCAGGGAGGCTCGCAAACCGGATTGCCCTAGAAGCCCCAGGGCTAGACCAGGCTTACAAGAGAATTCTACGAGCTTTCCCGGTCATCGGCAGGTGTCGGGGATAAGCTGACTGTTAATCGGAAGCTTGTGTATGCCACAGGCGTTCAGGGATGGGAGTGGGCTTTGCAAATAGGGGCGCTACTTGCGTTTCGTATGCCTGAAGCCCGCAAAGGGGCCCCACAACCTGCTAAATCGGCTGTAACCCCTGACCACCAATAAGTCTAATAAGCAGCGGTAGGTCTATGCCGGCAAGGTCCCCACTGGTGATTCTTAGCCTCGTATGTAAAAAGCTTCCGATCAGGCGGAGTGAGGGGTTCGTTCTCAGGGTGAAATGACCAGAGCAGATGCAAGACCATCTGTATTTCAGCGTGCTTGATCAGAGTCCTGGTCTAGGTGTATTTATACCCAAAAGCAGGATGCATAGGATATCTCTTTAAGCACGCCTGCTGTCGCCAGGTACGGCCGTTCCAGGGATGAAGGCAGCGCTTCAGAAAGCGGCTCACTGCAATCAGCAGTACAAGCTTTCCGGCTCTGCCCAGGTCATTTCAATGAAGAGGATTTCGGGTTTAGGTAGGGCCTTTCCACTCCGGCCGCGCGCCAGATGAGCTTAATGAGGGTACACTGTGTTGAAATTTAAAGCCTGAATCCAAACGGTAATCTTCAAATTCGGAATGCTTCATGCTTGATCCATGGATCTGGCCTTGTTGATGACTGCATTCATCGCCCAAAAAGCTTTGTTGTTGAAGCTGGTGCCGAGTGGCTGCTTTTCCTTAGCAGCACATGCTTGTGACCAATTCCCAGACTGTGCGCTCTCAAACCTTGAGGGACTGCCTGCATGGTTTTGTGAATGCTGGTGGCACCAAGAGCCTCAGCACTACGGTGTCTCTGCTTCAACAACAAACTCATGATGTGCTTGGACTTCCGCACGTGTTCAGCCATGGGTGCAGATGCTGCTCATGATGCCTATGGGGCCCGAGCAAAATGCAATGTACAGATTCTGTGAAGCCGCCGCTTAAGAGGGACAGTGATGCCAAGGCACTTCACGTAGTCATGCTTCATCAATCAAGAACGGGGGGGGCATGGTTCGCTAGAGTAGTTGTTCTTACGCAGTCTCGGTCATTGCCATTGAACTCAATGACGTCTGTCCGCACTGTCGGCGAAGGCAGTTGACATGGAACTGAATCCTGAACCTGCTGATGCATGTGATAATCTTACATGTTATTCGGGCCCTTCTGTACTATGAAGCCCACTTTTGTCCGAATGCGCCTAAGAAGCACCATCCGAACCCTCTACAACAACCAGTCTCCTATTTGCAATATCGACCTGTCGTGATGCATCCGCTGACCTCCCTGCCTCGTCTTCCAACTGTTAGAACTAGGATGACTACTCTTACGTTTCATTTTGCCCGCGGGACAGTACCACAACTACAAGACGTTTTCCTCTACAGCTCCTGTTGTGACTCATTGCTGTTGATATTCTTGCATGTTTAGCTGCTCGTCGGCCTTCTTATAGTCCGACGACTTACTCAACACATCATGCTCCAACAATCAGTAGCACTTCCACCCTTTTGCCATATGCGTCATGCTTGGAATGTGCTCCCTTTGTGTGGTACGGAAAGTATCAACGCGTAAGCCCAAGTAGGGACACCTGTAATCCCCGCATAGCCTTAGGTTCCCTGAGGGCGCCCCTACACTGAAGAAAACCTCATACATCCTTGCGTTTCAGGCAAGGCACCAGCATGGCGATCTCGAAGACGCATCCCTGAAATCGATCGCCTGCAGACCGTCCAACTTGCAATGCGAAGAGCTGTCCCTAAACCCTATAGCCCATAGCCCCTGAACCTGTACTCTAATCCCAGCCCATGAAGTCTAAACATCGGATGGCTCTAATTCAACCAATAGCGTGTCTTGTGCTGACCTCTAATTCTTCTGACTTGACCCCACGAGCTACAGGAAAGCACGAATCGTTTAAACTGGTTTTGGGGAACGTTGGGCGTGAGGCTTAAGACTTACCCAGACCCCTGCGAGGATCTAGAACGTAGATCCCCCAACAGGGTTCCTAGAAATTACCCAATAGTAGTACAGAGTACCGTAATGGGGGCTCTACTTTCTAGAACCTCCCAGGGGTCTGGGTAGGACTTAGGCCTGCTGATGCTACAGGTGAGTCTGGCTTTGCCTGTTCTGGGCAAGATGTACCAAAACCCTCACTTACCTGAGACTGCCCTTACAAACCCTTAAGCTACATGGACGTCTCCAAATTAAATGAGGTTCCCCCTTTTGGGAGGCCCGTATTATCCAGGGTTCGTCCTGTTGGGGCATGTACTACTTTGGGATCTTGCGGCTCCTGAAGACCATTTGGGAAAAGAACCACTGCGAACTCCTCACGAAGCACCCTTAGATACTTGGGCCCTTGCCACATGCAGGTTTAGGGGGATTCAGGAATTCTTGGGGGATTGGGGTTCCTGCTTCAAGATCATATAGCGATAGCTGTCAAATTGAACATTTGACGGTGAGAGTGTTTGTTTGATAGTACTGGAAGGGATTGAATCCCTTCACGCCCTTGACACTGCATACCAAGAACCCTCAACCCTCAACCCTCCATCCCAACACATAGACCTCGCTACTCCGCAACTTCAAACCACTCAAGCCCAACATCCCTTGACCCTTAACCTCCAAGCCCTCAAAACCCTATATACACCCTAAAGCCAAATCCCCGAGCCAAAGCCCCTGAAACCCCACACCCTAAACTCTGAAATGCCTCCCTGACCCCCAAATCCCGACCATTCCTGCCTGTAGGCCTGACCTCAGTGCGGAGGTCTAAGCCCTGTGCACCCAGGGCCGCAGCGGCAAACAGCGCGGCAGCCCTTGGATGAGGAGCTTCAAAAAAAGGATTTTTGGGTTGTGAGGTTTGGGTCTCAGGGGTTCAAGGTGTTAGGGTATTAGAGCTTCAGGATCGCTTCAGGATCCGGGAGTTTGGGGTGGTCCTTTGAATCAACAGACCTAACTCTTATGACCACTCGAAGCAGAGGATCTGCAAGAATAAGCTTTTTTGGGTGGCTATGTAAAGGACGATTTTACTCTAGTTCTGTTCGGGGTGATAAATGAGGCCAGGTAGGTCATTGGGGGCGTCAAGAAGTTTTAGTGCAACAGGGATCGAGGTGTGCATAGGGCATGTAGTGGGTTCTGTAGGGCTTGGCATAGGTGATAGAAGCTCTGGCAGATACAGCGTCATGGTGGGCATACGCATCTTGGTTTATGAAGGTGTGAAGCTTCTGAACAACGTAGTCCACAACAGATTTGACAAGTTGCTATGATTTTGCATAGGAGCGGGATTGCGAGGCAGCCTTGCAAATTAATCGACGACGGCGTCGGGGAAGAAGCCCTCGGAATAGGGCCCTGAGAAAAAGGTTGATCTGGGTGTCCTCAAGCATCAAATTCAAAGCCCCGAAGCCAGCCCTACTTGCATGGTACTTGCGTTCCATATCAAAAAGTCAGACAAGTCGACCCTGCGTTTACATGCATCATGCGCCCATCAAAGAAAGATCGCCCCTGATACAAAGACCTTCCTGGAACTGGTCTTCGCCCAAACCCTCCCTCATGGCATGGGATGTTGCATCATATGCCTTATCAAAACGAAAGCAATACCAACTATCATCCAAACCTGTAGGCTCGTCATGCTTCACGTGGACGTCTCGCACTACAAGGTGCCCAAGAACCTCAAGTCAAAATGCGAAAGGGCCTGACCCCAAGACCAAACAGCTACCCCGATTGGGAGCTCTCCTGTAAAGGCGGGGCGCTGCCGCATCTTCGTTGGTCTTCAACGCGTGGTGGCCCGGCTTGCACCCTGGTCTGCTACAAATAAGCTGCACGGAAGGATGTGATATGATTTGCACTTCAGTCTCGCCGGACCCTACATAGGCCCTTGTCAGGAAGGACTTTAACCTTTGTGTGGCCCTTTTGGGTTCCACGTTAGCCCAGGCTTTAGCGAAGGTATGAACCATACCAATATAATTAGTGACAATCAGAAGCCTTGCCTGAAGGTTTGCCTGCAGCTGGTTCCCTCAAGCTCTTTGACCGCTGAGCAACATTGCCAGCACAGTATGTGTGAGGTTTCCGGATGGTAGATAAACGGCAACTTTTTCATTGAAGGCAGGCTTGGCTTCTGCCAACTTCATGTCAAGCCTTCGAAGAACGCCCATCATCATGGTATGGCTACATGACCCCAGATATCCCTAGAGCCCATACCCTGAACCCTAAACCCTTATGTCAGAAAGCCAGCTATACATTTCTGGGCGGCGTACTCAGGTAGGTGGCAGCTGAGATTGTGAGGGTTCAGGGATTAAGTAAAAAAGTGTTCATGCAAGCGACGTACTGCTGTTGTCCCGCTTACACATGGTCCTTGTTTGAAATTCTGCAGCAAGACTTCTTCGACCACTCACTAAATTGAAGCCCATCTGCCAGCCAATATCAGATCCCTGCCTGAATTCCTGGGACACACATGCCAAGTGCTCCGGCCTGCCTGGCTTCCCACACGAAGATTGTTCGGAAAGGGGGGGGTGCAAGGCAACCCCTCTGCGCAGAAATGCCCGCGGACGATAGAGGCATGCATGAATTTTGCATAGAAGGCAAGAATGGCAGCGATGACCATGCGCATACTGGGAAGCTCGGCTAGAACTTTCACTGCATTAGGTGCAAGCCTGCGCAACTTGAACTTCACTGTCAAATCGAGCATCTGGTTTTGGGACCTATGTATAACGTAAACCTTGAAGTTGTGTATGCAAATCCTGGAGACGCAGCCTCTTCAAGGGTCCCATTGGCGTTGAGGTCATGCAAGCGGAACAGCTCCTACCCATGGAGACTTGTGCGTGTCTCCAAAGCCTCCTTCTTCTTATCAAGGCTTGGGAAGTCAACAAGTGTACCCGCTGTGAATACAGATCCTTGTCATTTCCCTTAGGAGGTGGTTGTTGCCCTACGCGCGCAATATCTGGGAGTACATTGGGGGGTACACTTGAGATGATCAGGTTCCAGCAGGGTTCCTACAGCCGTACATTTGGAGATACAGCCAGGCTGCAGCCACCCGACCAGAGGGCCCAAAAGCAGCAACGTATCTCAATTATGTACACATGGGCGGTTGAAAAAACTTCTTACCTTTTTTGGGTATAACACGGCCCCTGACGTGTAGGGTACCGTAAAACGGAGCAGGGACTTGTGGACGACAAAAAACGGCTGAGGTAGCTCGAAGAAGCTTTAGTGGTGATATGCATAATAAGTAAGTAGTCGAGGAACGAAAAGGCACACATACCTGCCCATCTGAAAGCACATACTGCTACTTGTTTAGATTTGACTCTTGAATTGAAGTTTCTGAATTACGCATCTGCTATTGGGTGTCCAGAGTACACTGTTAATGATAACGACCTTTACAGACCACCTCATGCTGCCCGTCCTTTTGTTGACGATGTAGGGCTCCCTATTAACTTTCAATATCACAAACACAAATTTTCTGGAGCGCTTGCATTTGTTTAATGCTTCACGGACGGAAGGTATCCTTGCCAACTCCTCCTGTTGAGCCCATGCCTGTAAACAACACAGTAACGCGTGTTTTGCCGTTTTCGGCCTAGGGGTTATACAAGAAGCGTGAGTCCACAAAATTCTGCAGTCACGCCCCGCCTGTTACGGGAAGTCTTCTCGGTTCAGAGCCCTCAAGCTCTAAAGCATCTGTGGAAACTCTACTGTCATAAGCCAAGAGCCCAAGCCCAAAAATCTCAACCCCAACTTTGTAACCCCGAAGCGCATCCTGCATCATCTCTTCAGCTCTTTCTGAGCGCACGCCTGCTACAGTTGTCACGGCAATTGAACACGCGAGGCTCAACAATCTGGGCCTTATAGACGTATGTTGGATGTATTTAGACTTCCTTTGAGGAGCAGTTCCATTTGCGTACGTGGTCCTGAGGCTAGGGAAGTGTTTTCAATGTCATGACCATTCGGTTAATAAACGGTGATTGAGTTCATACATGTGGTGAGAAGCCCCATCGGAACTTTAGTAGTCGGGGTGTCCCCCGAAGCATACATGGCATTGCTTCGGATTCTCAGACCCTAAGCTATCCGCCGAAGCACTTCCCACATCCATCTATGCACTTTACTGCCTTCATTGGGTAGTCATCAATGGACCCGGCTTTCCTTGTTGAGAGGCACTGTGCTGTTCAGTACCTGGGCCCCAATGTCGCAAATACGCAAACACCTGCACTGCAACACCTAAACTTGAATCCGTCAGGTCTGACATCCTAAGCGCTCTTCCCAAACGACTCCTATCCCTAAATCCCTAGCTCCCCACCCCAAGTCTTGAAACCTAGCCCCGAAACCCTGATTTCGATACTTCTCACCTACTTCCAAACCCCAAGGCCTACAGGATCAGTGCAGGGCATCTCGACCGTCATAGCATCTGGGCTGCGCAGTCCATTCGGGTTAAGTGCTCACTTCCTGGTGGATAGTAGGGATTGGGGGCATGGATCCCTATAGAAATCCCGGTACAGTCCCTACAATTCGCTGCTTCCTTCCCTACTTGCCAGTAGGTTCGCCGTTGAGGACTTTCTGGCTTAAGATTCTGGCTTCAGAGCCCTTAGGGCTTGCGGGATTCAGGCAGAGGGCTTGACATGGGTCTGGGATGGCTCAGGGTTCTGCATGAAAGGTGCGAGATCTATAAAAGATGGTAGGTGGGGGGTGTTTAGGGTAGCTGCATGAAGTTGAAGGCTGAAGCTGAGATTGTAAGGTGTAGCAGGTTTTGTAGCCCAGGAATCAAGAACTCTTGTAAGAGTGTATTGAGCAGGGGTAGCTCATATCAGGCAGATCTTAACCTCAGCTTGGGTCTCACCTGAGGTGAGATTGCGGAGTGTAGAGCTTGCCCTTGCAAAGCGCACTGCCTTTACAGCAAATCCCGAACCCTAAACCGAGTACTTATACTATGCTCTGAACAGTCCTACAACTCCCAGAGAACCCTTCCCATCCCTGACATCCAGAAGCAACATGTCAATGAGGAGAGACCCTCACGATGAATACTTTCAAGCGATCAAACCAACAACCGTTATAGTAACGTGAATACATTCTGTCAGCTCATAGGCAGCCGAGGCGTGCATTAGGCAAGCTCCGCCAAATCCTTCACAAGCTTTGTGGGCCCCAATTACAGGATAATTTTCATTATTTGAAGAACATGCGGGCGCCCTGTGGAATGTATCAGGGGGCTGTATCTGAGTCTAGGAATGTCTACCCCTGGCACTCCCCCAAAAGCCTAAACCCTCCCAAAGTGACCAAAGTGACCAGACTATCACTGTGACTATTACTAGTTTTGAGCTAATGTTGACATGAGCTCATGCCAATGTAAGTATCAAAACAAGGCAAGCCCACTCCGGCAGTCATCCAGCGCGGAAGATGCCGCACCCATGGCAAGGTGTCTCCTGGTTCATGGCTTCGAGGTGCTCTTATCTAGAGGGTGTCGCTTCACAATGTATCTACCTAGGGCTCTTAGACCCGGAAGGTTTGGGCTGTTTCGGCGCTACTTTCTTGAATAGTGGCACTATCATGCTGGTGCGCACCGTGCTCTGTGTATAAGTAGGCCACATTCATCCAGTCCCTAGACCCGAAATCTTGACCTCAAGACCTGCCTAATCCTTCTATGGCATGGTAGGTAAGAATCACACGAGCCGATACGCGGGAACAAATTTCGGAACCTCCTAAGATGAAGGCCTTCTGAGTCCCCGCAGCTAATGCTTCCAAACCCGGTCCTCGAATGCTTCGAGGTCGAGTCAACGCGTCTTTCTATATCCAAGCACTGGTCTGGTGATTCTCGGGGTTTGTGAAGCAAGTATGCGGTGGCTGAAGAGGGATATGTGCAAGCCTCAACAGGTTGACTGCTTGGGGGGGTTGGTAATTAGGTTAGGGTTTTGGGACGGGGGCTTCAGATGATCTTGCCTTGCTCACTGCTATAATGACTGAGAATGAATCTCTGGATCCCCAAGATGCAAATCCTGCAGCTTGAGCTCTCATACTTTTCACAAGCCAGAACTCCAAACCCTGGACCCGCCCAAAAAGGCTTTGAATCGAGCATGCTTAGTTATTTGGGAAACCTCACAACTTGCACCTACCCCAAACGCTGAAACCTAGCTTCTTCTTACATCCTTCAATCTTCTGGCAAACCTACTATTCGTGCTTGTCAGCCTTGGTTGCCGTTTCTCCCCAATATAGATGCAGGGTAAGATGTTGTTTTCCATTTGGTTTTGGGAGTTTGTAAATGGCTGAGCTAGACTAACTCTGGACTCCGTATCGAAATTACATGCCACAAGGCCTTACTCCCCTACTGAACCAGTGAATTACCTGCTTCATGGCAGATGGGTGTAAGGAATGAAGCCAACAATGAGCATTCGTGCAGAGTCTAGAGTAGTAAGAGGGCTTAGCAACTATCGACTTATGGGCTTCATGCTCCAAGCATGGCAACCAGAGCAGACCCCCATCTTCCCCCAATCAGCATGCAGAAACACGCACAGTTTCTGAGGGTCCCAGGCTCCTTGAGCCCAGAAGCCACTTCATTCTACCTAGATGCAAGGACATTACCCCTGTTGTTTAGTAAAGGATCTGTCCGTGTACCTCTAGACCCTAGCCGCAACTGCACTACCTGCAAGAATGAGCTACTGTTGATGAGGGAAATCTTGCACCAGCTAGGGTCCCAAAACTACTGTAATTCTTAATACTTTAAGGACTTTAAGTGGTGCAAAATTTCCTCCATCAACAGTATCAACATGGATGGCAAAAGTCTTA